CCAACCATGCAACTGTTTAGAAACTTGTTTCAAGTTTTCTTGATTTAGTTTTATCCTTTCAACGGGCTCTCACGGGGGCTTGAAACTTTTTTACTCTGAAATCAGAGAAACCATTGTCGCTGCTCGTGAAATTTTAGAAAAATCTGTACGTCACCTCAGGCAAGAGATAAGGTTTTTGGAAGTTTAGAATTTAAAGTTTGAAGTGATAGCTTTATCTGCTCGATAATTAAACAATTATTGTCATGTGCCCTGCATCGTTTATGATCGAGTTGCATCATTGAGCATCGCGAGATCATATCCCACCAAGACACAGAACACAAACACACGCAGCAAAAAAAAACACCCCAAAAAATTTTCCACCCCGTCTGTGGGTCAGCAAGTAAAGCCGAGTCATTCCTGCCTCCTTGGCCTTTCTTGGGTCCATGAGCTCCGGTGTCTGATAACAGTGCTTGTGGGGTAGGCTCTGGCTATGTCATCCTGGATGTGGACCTGAGCATACACTGCCCTGTGGCATCCCTTCGCGACCTGCGCCAGCCGGTACATCTGCCGCTCCTCGATGGCTATCCAAAGAAATTTGCAGAACTTCAAGCAGAACAGTGAACTTTTCTGCTTACCTGCTTATCTGGGCTCCCACTTTTTTATATGCGCTTTTCTCTGGAGCTCAAAAGGAGTGTGTGCATGTGGCACACTTGGTGGCGACTTCTGATGAGAACTTCAACCTGCCTGCAAACTTAATGGTTCCACTTTTGTTCCCTGCAATGTTTACGGGAGATGTACTTAGTGGGATCTACTTTGTCCTCGAGGCCCACTTCTTTTATGAGGAGCACTTATCTGCGTGTTGGAAAGATGCTACTTCGTCAACGCGGTGTTGACTTCAGGCCTTTTCTGACTTTGCAGCCCGACTTCGTGCCCTTCACGATGTGGATTGCTTTTCCTGAGCCAACTTGGGTGTCTATGCTGCAGAGGTTTACATTTCGTGGCTACCTTCAGGTGCTGTCGGAAGATGTTCCATGGACAGCGGACTTTGAGGTTCACCCACTTCTCAATTTGGCTTTTCTCCACGCTCTGCGCTACTTTTTCTGCTGTTGAACTTGCATTATCATCATCAGCGTGGCCGAGACTTTGCGCACGGTATTGCCCAATTTGTTGTACTTGGTTTCCGCGGGCGGTACAACAACTTTTTGCAGATGATGTCAACTGGCGGCCAGTTTTGGAACCGCCGATACTTGGACTTTCTCTGCTTAAGGTGGCATCTGCGTCGGCGGCGGGTCCACCTGAACTTGCTTCGATGGTCACAATGACTTCCCCTGCAGGTGAGTCACTTTGGAATCTTGGCACACTTTACCATAGCCAGACTTCAAGAGGCTATGTGTGGGTTGGCCACACTGTTGTGCGGCGAACTTTGGGACCAGTCGATTCAACTTCACGGTCCCTCAGATTCCTTGGTGTATCCAGCACTTCTGGTGAGGTACTTTGGACCACCTCCTTCGGCACTTCGAAGAGCAAGACTTTAAGCTGCAGACTTCCTTGGTAGCTGCACTTGAATGGGCCTACCAATTTTTGTGGTAGCTGCACTTTGATGGGCCTACCACCGAGTCTGCTGCTCAGCCACTTGTAAGTCACTTCCTCATGCGTTTCACTTGTGCCTTTGTTTGTATTGACTTGGAAGACGTCAGTTACCTTTTCAGTATATGTATGTATGTATGTATGTATGTAGGTATGTATGTTCACGCAAGACCGCGATTTTCATCAAACTTTTCAGGATGCTCCGCACGGGAGTGCGATTTTGAACGAAAGAACGATGAAATTTTCAGGATGCTCCGCACGGGAGTGCGATTTTGAACGAAAGAACGATGAAATGTTCAGGATGCTCCGCATGGGAGCGCGATTTTCTTCAAAATTTTCAGGATGCTCCGCACAGGAGTGCGATTTTCCTCTAAATTTTCAGGATGCTCCACGTGGGAGCGCGATTTTCCTCCAAATTTTCAGGATGCTCCGCACGGGAGCGCGATTTTCATCAGAATTTTCAGGATGCTCCGCACGGGAGCGCGATTTGCTTCAAAATTTTCAGGATGCTCCGCGCAGGAGCGCGATTTTCTTCAAAATTTTGAGGACGCTCCGCACGGGAGCGCGATTTTCTTCACAATTTTCAAGACGCTCCGCATGGGAGCGCGATTTTCTTCAAAACAAGACGACCTTGAACGGAGCATTTTCGTATAGAATTGGTATAGGATTCATCCCGTAAACGATCAAATTTTGAACGACGATGCCGACAAATCCTATGGCAATCCTATACCGGAAAGCGCCAAATACCTCCCTCTTGAGCCCGGAAAGCCACATCGAACGACGTTCGTTTGGTATAAGATTGGTATAGAAACCGTCAACATCATCGCTCATAAATTTTCAAACTTGTCCGTATGCTCCGCACGGGAGCGCAATCTTGAGCGATTTTGATGAAGATAAATCGGCGAAATTTCGAAGATGTCTCGAGTGAGAGCGCGATTCTTGAAGATACGAACATGATCAAAACGTCAAAAACGTCGAATTGTCTCGCGCGGGAGCGCGATTATTGAATGCTTACAAGGTACGAAAAACGCGAAATTTTGAGGATGTCTCGCGCGAGAGCTCGATTTTTCGTAAATGGAGCGCGGCCGGTTAAATAACGGACCCCCCACGAAGAAGACCTTAAAGGCGAGGCTTTGTAGTGTTTTGATCGAAAATCGATTAAAAAAACGCCGATTTTTTGAGGATGTCTCAAGCAAAAGCGCGATTTTTGAGCGAACATGAGCGCGTCTTAAATGTTTGCGCGACGGAAGAGCACGCGGAGGGTGGCGGGCGACAGCACATCAAGAACTAGAACCCCACAACCGAAACAACGCGGCAGATGATGTCATAGGGTTTCCTACACTCAGCCACGTTTTCTATTAACGAATATATAACAATAACCTATATATTCCCTAACCCTTTAAAACCCTAAACCCTAAACCTTTGAATGCTTGTCTTTACTTGTCGTTATTTGTCATTATTTGTCTTTGCTTGTCTTTGTAGGCCTCTCAAATCTTATTGGCCCTGAGGATCTAGACCTGGAGGATATAGACCATGGATAGGGGTCAATGACAAGATTTCAACTTCACGCAGTCGTAGACCCAGTAAAGTGTATAGCATGGCTCAATTAGTTGACGCATGACGTGGCAGGGGTGTAAAGTGTAAAGGTCAACAAACATCTCATTTTCCAATTGTCGTGAAATCACTCTTATTTTCGTTGTTGGTTCAAAATAGGCGGAAGCCCTTAGATATCCGTATCGCCGTTACACCCATAGTGACATGCTTGATTTTTGCCAGCATTCTGAGATTGTTGAGCAACAATGGGGTGATTGAGTTCACTGCAGTCGTGGAAAGCTAATTGAGTATTCTTGCCTGAATACGCAGTCGTTATTTACAAGTCAAGAACGTATTGTGTTCAATCAGTCAGTCAATTCTGAGGCCCAGCTTCGCCTGAGCCACCCCCGTGCAATTGCGAGACGCGGTGCTGGGCTTTTGAAAAGGGTTGCAACGAGCAAGAGAGAAGGGAACATGGTGGTTCTGATAATGCATCGAAACTGCCGACAAGGAGGTGTGGGCCCCATGATGGGACCACTGAAATCATAGCTGAAGTGACACTCTCCGGTCTTTCGTGGACGATTGCCGACTGTGTCATGTGTTGCAGCATCCGGGCTCAAAACAAGACATAAGTTCAACGACATTTGCGAAGATGTGATTGGTAAAAGTCTATTTCATTACCACTTCGCGAAGCGAGAGCCTTGCTTCCACCATGGAGAGGCACGATCTAAGCAAGAGAGGCTGGGGATTTCAAAGTGCTGTGCTGGCACAGATAGATAGGCCTCAAATCATTTATGCCCTCATCATTCGAGGCGGGAGAAGATTCACTCCTTCAAGTTGCAAGAGGAAGCCATTATCGCAGGTCAACGTGTAGTGCTGGCCGAGTACACAGCGCTGGCTGGAAACTTTCAGCAGGCAATTGATCTGCGCAGCTTCATGTGCATGTTCATGCGCGGCGGCTTCGCAGATGTTATGCTTGCAGGCCACCATCCAAATCCTGCAGAAATTGGAGAGCACTTCCGAGTGGAAGAGTTACATTTACGGTGCCGCGTGAGAGAACAGGGCAGATCAGTTTAGGGTAGAAGGGGTGTCCGGCTGCAGGTGAGTATGCCTTTCACTACATAGTGGACCAGACGAAAAACCTCTGGTTCCTGGGGATGGCAAAGGGCAGAGAGGGCCGAGAGGGCCGAGAGGGCCGAGAGGGCAGAGGGAGTGGCTATCTGTCGCTGGTAGGTTCGTGTGCATGGCCGAGCGGCTCCTGGGCCGCCGCATCCCGTTTGGGTTTCTGCAAGCAGTTCAGGAACCGAGATATTGTGGATCCTAAGCAAAGCATTGCAGACCTCTTGCAGGACAGCTTCGGGGAGAGTTATAGCGAATCAGCTGTGGAGAGCGCGATCGCCTATGGGATGCAGAGCGACTTCCGGGAGCGGCTGAAGCTTTTGATGGAGAAATTCAACTCCCCCGACGTGGACCGCGTGGCGAACATGATGGCCAAGGCAGGGGCCAAGGCCAAGGCAGGCAAGGCAGGCAAGGCAAGCATAGAAGGCAGTTTCTTCCTTCTAAGCTGGTGTTTTTATTCGAGGATGTTGTTTCTTTTCAGGTGCAGCACATCAACGACCACCTCATGGACAGCATCGATAAGATCCTGGAGCGCCAGGTCAGAGACTTCCCTGCACCCTGCACCTTTCTCATCGTCTTGGAAAGCATGAGGAGAAGATCGACCTGCTCGTGCACCGCAGCGAGGTCCTCTCGGCGCCCCTGAGATGAGAAAGGTTTAGACCCGACGGCTGTAGCGACTTTGAATCGACTGAAAGAAGTGCCGCAAAGTCACTTTGCTTCGAGGGCTGCGAGCAGCTTCCGGCGCGATGCAGAGCACCTGCGGAGACATGTCTGGTGGCAGAACTTCCGGCCTGGAGCCAAGCGCAAAAGACTTCTGCCTCTTCCGCCTCCTCTGAAATTGGACTCGGTAGCTTTGCGGTAGCTTGACAGCTCCTCTTCGCTGAGGGCCATGGCTTTGGTGGCCTTCGTCCTTCTCGCAGCTGTCCTGGCCCAGAACCCAGCGAAAGACTTTCGAATTCTCGCAGCCAAGCATCCAATCCGTGAGATGCGTAGCCGTTGCGAAGCCGTTGCGAAGCCGTTCCTGGCTTGAGCAGCTCTGAGGTGGTGCTGCTGGCCTCATGCGGCTTCTCCTTCCACTGCTGACGTGAAGGAAAAAAAGGCGACAGAGGAGAGAGAGAGAGAGAGCTGATGCGTGCTAAGGGAACCATGGATAGGGACTGCTGCAGCTGTGCATTCAGTCTTCATCTTCCCGTTGCGCTTTGCAGATCTTTGCCGAATCTTTGTAGTTCGGGCTCGCAGGAAGGTGTAGGAGTGTAGCAAGGTGTCAGGGTTCGGGGTCGGGAAATGGTCTCGCTGGAGGTGCCTCTTCTCTTTCAAGCAACACTTGGGAGCAATTAGGGCCAGGCATGAGACCTGAGGCCCACCGACGCCTGAGCACGCCAAGCACCAACACTCTGGCATTCTGCACATTCCTTCCCTCATTGGCCATCGCAGTGCTTGTCTCCAGGCTCGGAATACCGCTTGCGACCCTCAGAACTGGCGAAGCCTGCGGAGCTTTCGGACGGGAGGAGTCATAGACTACGAGCCTGTCCCTGAGTGGATTTGGAAAAGCTGCGATCGCCAGCCATGACTGCATAAGCCAGGCTTAGGCCCGGCTTAAACTGAAGCTGAGCCACTGAGCCACTGAGCCGCTGAGTTGAGCTGCAGCTGAGCTGCAGCTGAGCAACAGCACATGCAGTCCCTCTGACAGACATCCATGTTCTTGATCTTTCAATCCCCCAACTGATGCGTAGAATGCGTAGAAGTCAACCCGTCTAACCCTTGCACCACCTGGCCTAGAGCCTCTAAAAGCATCTAAATGCTTCAGCTTTCTGCGGGTTCTCTCGCCGTGAGTTATAGGCCAGATTGCCAGAATCCCAGAAGCTTTCGGAAGCTGCGCTTCACCTCCAGACCTCCAAGACCTCCAGAGGCTGAGGTTCAGCCGTGTGCTTTGTGCATGTTGAACAGCCACTGTGCAGAGCACTGCTTTGAACCTTAAAATCGGAAGCAACTTCAGTGCTTGAGACCGCATGAAAGAATTCATGGAAGGACCCATCACACCCAACGGGGGCTTTGGAGTCTCTCGAGGTTTCAGACAAGTTGCGGACTCTGTCCTTCTCAGATCCTCTCCGCAATTTCCTTCACTGCCTCCCCTGAGCAATGAGAAGGCATAGCTTACGATGAGTAATCAAGGTGTCTAGGCCTAGGTCGTCTACACTTTGATCCCTTCAGCTTTGCAGCTTTGCAGCTTCGCTTCGCTGACTCCTCGCCGTAAAGGTCATTGGCTCTCCTCACCGGCGCACGCCATGGCAGTGATGCCGATGGCCATGACATCGTGTGTGCAGGTTGCAGCGTGAGGTTTCCAGTGAAGCTCCCGCGCATTAGCCGCCATCGGTTCTGGACGCCGCTGAGCTCCAGAGTCCGCTTAAGACGCGGCAGATAAAAAAGGAGAAGGCCAGGCCTGCACATCTTCTCCAAGCGTCAAGCAGAAGAAGCAAGCCGTCTCGGCTTCGAGCCTTCGAGAGTTCCGGCTTCGTCTCAGCAGACGCTGTTCGTTTTCTCAGCTTCTCAGCCTCAGCGCTTGGCCCTCCTACGCTGAAAGAGCTGAGCTCAGCTTGAGCTCACCGAGCTGCAGGGTCTTGATCAGGGCCCAGGGAGCAGAGGGCACGGCCCGAGCCCAGCGAGCCCAGCCTGGAGTGCAGCCGAAACCGCTGCCGAAGGCGCTGCGATGCGGAGCTCTGAATGGCTCTGAGGATTTCTCACTGTCCGTCACTGTCCGTGACAGTCTTGGATTCAGGGACCCGGGGGAGGGGTTTGGGCTTGGGCCTCCTCGAAGTGAAGTGCCTTTGTGAAGTGAAGGCCGGAGGCCAAAGGCCGCCAAAGGCCGAAGAGCGCTTGCTCAGTCGCTCCGGGCTTCTTCCTCCTCCCTTCCCTCCTTCCCTTCCTTCCCCGACTCCCTTCAATCTCCTTCCTCTCCTCTTTCTGAATCGCTTCCTCGCCAGCCTTGGCTCGTGTTTGGGTTTCGGAGGTTTCGGAGGGCTTCTGAGCCGAAGGTGCACGAAGTCTTTCGGGCCCGGAGCTCCCGCAGTGACCACCGCGCAGCGTCCGCAGCGTTTGCACCGCCTCGAAGTGCACAGCTCCTGAAAGAAGCCCCGAAGTCACCGAAGTCACAGAGAGCGAGGACTCTCTTGCTCGAGCTGCTCGAGCTGCTAAGCGGTGAAGGAAGAACGTTCAGCCGGCCATCCTCCAGATCCTCCAGCCTACAAGATCGTTTCGGCACCTTTCCCAAGGCTTCGCGAAGCTCCGCTGGCCTTGGCCTTGCCGTCATTTCTTCTCCTTCACCAGTGCCCCTTAGCGAATGCTCCTATCGACCCCGCGGAGCAAAAACATAATTCTGGCAAAGGCCTTTGACCTGGCTCTTTTTACCCCTGCACCAGCACCTGCTTGGCCTCCACTGCCTCCACATCCAGATGCCACAAGCTTTGCAAGCTCTGCAGTGCGCTGCAGAGGTGCGTGCCAGTGTTGCCAGTGTTGCGAGCGCTGTGCGCGCTGTGCTGTGAGCGAGGTCTTCGTGCTCCCCTGTAAATCAGTTGCAAGAACTAGGAACAAACTCGAGCCCTTGCATTTGGAGAAGCTGCTGCTTGAGTGCAACACGTGGACTCTGCTGTGAAGCAACCGGGAAACACTGTAAGTTTCTGTTACTCACCAGAAATGGTAGGAGGCGGCAGCATGCGTACTGTGCGTACTGTGCGTACCATACGCTCTGTGTGCCAGTGCAGGGTTTGGTGCCAATGCCTCGGTGCCTGAAGCATCTCCCAGTTCAACGAAGGCCTGGAAGGTCATCCCGAGGTCGAAGGCAGGGTTCAGAAGCTGAGGGATGTGGATCCGATGTGATTCTGGAGCGAAGTCCCTTTTGAAACGCTACCGCCCTTTCGCCCTGTGTGAAGCTTCGCAACTTTTCGAGCTAAGCTGCAGCCTGCAACTGTCTTCTCTTCTCAGGTGAAGTCACATTCCGGTAGTTCCGGTAGCTGTTGGTTAGTGGGTTAGCCAGAACTGCATGCCGTGCGTGCCGTGCTTTCCGCCGGAGTTCATCAGTAAAACTGCTCTCCATGGGCTGATCGCGCGAACAACGTGTTCGCAGCACTCGCAGTCCTCGCAGTGCTCATTTGCGGCTATTTCTGGTGCGCCTCGAACTGAACAGTAAAGGCAATTCTTGCCAGAGTTTTCCCCACGGCAAGAGTTTTCACCATAAACAATACGGTAGCTGCCCAGGGGCCCCTGTTGCTTGCCATGTCGCTGCTGTCGCTCCTGGACAGGTCACAGCTTCAAAGGAAACGAACAGCTCTTTACTGTCATTTCCTGTTAGGGTTAAACGGCCTGAATTCCACAGTTTCCACTTAGCAATGCAGGAAATGCAGCAGAAAGAGGCAAAACCGCGGTGAGCGGCTGCAGTGCTGCTCAGCTCGGCTCTGCTCCTCGGCTCGGCTGAGCTCTCGGCTGAGCTTCTTTGCTCTTCTTTTTGCAGCTCTGCTTTTTAAAGCTCTCCTTTAAAGGGGTTTTTCGGAGAGCAGCGTCGTCAGGAAGAGAAGTTTCTCCAGGAATGAAGCTTCCTTTTTGCCTTTGCAAACTTTGCAACTTGCGGCTGAGAGCCGGCCCCGGCACCCCTTCGGTGCCAGCCGTGTGACTTTGCCCATGGAAAGTCAGAGTAACTGTGGAGGTTGCCGAGGTTGTGGAGGTGGAGACCGTTTTGTGCACGACGCCTTTCACTTAAGGGCACTCGGTTAGGTTTAGCTTCCTCCTGCGGTGTTCGCGAGCTCGGCGAGCTCGGCCGTGGCCTTCTCTGATGCCTCAGGAGGCTTTCAGCCTCGTGTGCCGGACTGCACTCCACTCCTTGGAGGTCTTCAAAGGTGCCTATGAGGTTCCTGTCATCACAAAGCGCGCTCGTTGACAGCTGCTCTCCCGGCTCTGCCGGCTGCCGCTTGCACGGCCTGCACCGCTTGGTCTGCCTGCACTATTCGCAACTCTTGCGCCCCGAGCCTGCGAGCCGGCGCTTGCGCCTGCAGCGCCTTGCGTGCGGGAGGCGGCAGCAGTAGTTTTGGTAGGAGCTTTGCTGGGGCGATTCGGTAAGACGTTGCAGGCCTTGCGGTTCTAGACACCACAAGCTCCGGCGTTCCTTAACAACACGCTTCCGCACAAAAAGGTGAGCTGTTGTCTGTTAAGCGTGGACAGCATGGAGACCAGAAAGACCTGAGTTGCAATTAAAACGTGCAATCTTTGACTGTCTCGAAATCGCTGTGCCTTAAATGTTTGGATTCATCACGCACTCTTCGGTTCCTCCTTGGGCTCTGCATGGGAGCGACTGAAGAGTGAAGATGGCCCCCCTTTGTGAGGCTCAGCTCGAGGTATTCTTCAAGGCAGCCTAGGTCAGCCACTTTCTACTCTTCCCACTCTTCCCACCTCTGCCTCCTCTTAAACCTCCGAGCCTAAGACAGGGCGACGAAGAGCTTTTAGGCTCCGCAATTTGCAGCTTGGGCTTTGAGCACATGTCCGTCATCGCTAGCACCGCGTCTGCCGGAGGTGCCCGCGGCAGTCGCGGCAGTCGCAGTCGCGGCAAGCCGCAAGCATTGCAAGCATTGCAAGTATCGCAAGCCAGAGCTCTGCCTTTTCAGTGCTTGCACTTTGGGGGCTGACACTCCCTGAGGCTTTTTGTGCGGCGAGTGAACTGCGATTGAATTCTGTCGTTGAAGTCTAAAGCTAGGTCGAAAAGATCTCTGCATGGCCGCTGAGGGTTCCATGTGCGACCAGCCGGTCCTTGAAGCACCAGGAACGACCGCCATGGATGGCAAAATGATGCCAAAAGAGAATGAGTCAACTCCCTCAAGGTGAAAACCTGACAACTGCATCCTGATTGGTTGCAGTATAGGTGGTATCGCCACCAGCATAAGACTTCCAGGAACGACAGGCACGAGAGCACTGTAAACAATGCGTGCGCAAATGCCATCTTAATACGACAAGTCTAGCGTTCATGTACAACTAAGCACGCGAAAGTATTCGCACCAACAAGTAATGCACACACAACTCAGTCGCGCGCAAGGACTTCTTTT